TGAAGACACTCTAATATTAACCATCTCATAAAGCTTTCCCTCTTTCACGTCTTCCTTCATGAAGATTGACTCTATTTCATCGATATTAAACGTCAGTCCGTAGACTTTCTTATTGACTCGTCGCGTTTCAAACTCGAATCGTGTAGTCATCCGTTCGCGCAGTATTCTCAACTCCCCTTCGACGAATGTGTTCCCCGTGTTCAGCACCAAAACGTTAATTTTGAAGTCTGTGTGGTGCTGACCTTGTGGAGACTTCATTCACTTTTTCACAGTTTTTTTCACCTTTTTTATTTCAAATGTTTTTAAAAAAGTTTTGAAAAGTTTTATAAGTTTTTTAAAAGTTTCTTCAAAGACATGAAGACTTTATATGTCTTTTAAACAAATAGAATGTCACTAAACAACATTTACCGCGTATCCCACTGAACTCCAAAACAAGACTTCTTCTTATTGCCAAAGACATCGCCGTTGACCGCATTAATGAGAACAGGCTCATTCTTTAATTCATAGGAATACGACGTGAAGCAGAAAGGTAAGTAGATGCGAGTCACCTTCGACTTCTCGTCAACTACTTTCACAGAACACGACGCCATATAGTCACTCGTCCCACTCTTAACGGCGTTTTGTTTGTACTCTCGTGTTAAAAGGGTATTCTGCCCCTTCACAAAGTCCACATACGCCTGAATCGGGTCTTTTGAATCTTCAAATTTGAGCTTGGGGATATCCTTTGTCACAAGTGTGTCGTTTTTGAACCATCCAGACAACTTCGCGAGGACCGATGGGTTATCAATTTCGTTCAACGTTTTTGCTTCTTTGTCGCTGGGGTCAAACTTATAGATCTTCCCTTGAGGAATTGCCAACTCGTTCAACAAAAGGGTTCTGTACATACTATTCGAGTTCCACAAACAGAAGACGTGGCTCAGAGGTCGTTCATAATATCCGATACACCCGTCACAACTGAAAGTGACTTGCATCCACAAGAAAGGTACCATATGAATGTCAGTGAACAACACAGGTTGGTTACTAATCGCCTCCTCAAGCTTTTTCGACGAGAAGATCCCCGCTGAGATCCATTTATTAAAGATTTTGTACAGCTTCTCCGCGTCGATTTCCTGTCGCATGAAGTGCAGTGGTAACTTGTCACATCGGAAGTTCTGTGAAGAGCACACAACTCTTCCCGTCGCTGTGTCTGGAAGTGCACCCGTCGAACTTTTCAATGAAAAATCCATTGGCTTTGTCGATGGAACACTGATCTCTGGGTACGTCAATGGGTTCTGATAGCCCGTTGAAGTCTGTGGAGAGTCGAACGTCTTCTTTTGAAAAGTAGTTGCTGTGTATTGTTGGTAGTCTTGTGTCTTACTTTGTGGTGCTGTGTATTGTCTTTGTTGGTGTTTTTCGCGTTGGGGGACATCGAAATATGTTTTATTCAGTTGCGTTGCTTTCCCAGGAAGCGCGGGCTTCTCCTTTTGGTCAAATTTGTCCAACGGCCCACCATACGCTGCTCTATACCTCAGTGGGATATCTTCGTTCTCTGCACCGACATTTTGTTTGTCTCCACCAGTCGAGTTAATGAGTTTATTGATATCATCAAATGGGTTCGTTGACTTAGTGTTTGGTTTTGGTGGAGGAGGTGGAGGGAGTGGTTTTTGAGTTTTTGGTTGGGGTTGTTGTATACCAGGAATGCTTTGTTGTTGCATTGGAACGATGTTTTGTGTAACAGTTGGTTGTTGTTGGTAAGGCAGATAACAAATAGGTTGTTGTGGTTGTTGGATAAGTTCTGGTTCATAAGGAGGTACATCCAAAGGAATATCATTCGTTTCAAATATTAGAGTTTGTGGGAGAGGGATTTGTTGAGGTTCTGGGTTTTTGAGTAACTCGTCCAATACAGAGTCTTGTACATCGAACAACGGTTGTTTCTGTTGTGAGTCGACTTTTTGGTTAAGCATGATGTCAAGAGACTGTTGTTGAGTCTTTTCTTGTTGTTTTGAGTCTTTTGAAACACTTTGTTGTTGTTTTGTTTGTTGTGTTGTTTCATTGGGAAGTTCTTTAATGAAAGTGATTGGTTCAAAGTCTTGTGAGACTTCTCCTTGAATACTTTGTATAGAAGGTTGTATTGTTTGAATGCTTTGTTGTTGTTCTGCTAATGTATTAGTGTGAACATTTTCCGTTATAATATCATTTGTTTGAAAAGAGTCAACGGTATGAGGAACGTCTTGAGTATCTTCTAAAAGCAAAGAATTTTTTATTTCCAAATGCGCCGTTTCCTTCACTTCTTCTTTTTGTGTCTGTGGGTTGTACACCTCGTCCAACGTCTGCATGTTATTCATTTCAATACAATTGGTTATAAGTGTTTTAAAAAATTTTTAGATAATATTAGTTATAGATAGAAAAGCAAACATGTATCTTCGAACAAAGAGGGCAGTCAAATTGTTCTCCACCAAGCGCAAGGGAGTCAATACATTCTTCACAAATAGCTTCTCCGCATGGGAGTGTGAAAAGTGTATTTTGTGAGATGAGGCATAATGGGCAGTTCATTATTTGTATGAGAACTAAGTTACCCAAATTCTTAAAATAGAAACCATTCCAAATTAATTCGAAACACAATTCCATGAAAACTTGTTCAATTATTTTCATTTTATTTAAAATATAATTATATTATACTATATTAAACCATATAATATAATATTATATAATACTATTATTAATTTATTAATAAAGAATACACTTAAGAAGATAAAATTGACTCTAAAAGACCGAAATGCATATATCTAAATAAAAGATTAAAGGATACTGACTGGCTGTTGAACATCCGTTTCCTTCTTTTCACGAGGGGGAGGGACTGATGGGAGTGCCTTCATAGGAGGTCTTGGAGGAAGAGGTTTAGATGGGACCGCAATATGTTTGGATGGGACTTGTGAATAACTTTCTTGAAGAGTGTGTGAAGCAATAGCTGGTTTAATAATTAAGTCCTTTTAATTAACAACTTTCAAAGAGTAAGTGTAAAACGAGAGATTAACAAACATCAAAAATGGCGTTGTAGTTGTCGATGAAATATTGAGTACAAATTGGTGCTGGGTTGTCTGCTCTCATCAAGTCCAAAACGTTTTGTTGGTTAAAAATGTTTGGTCCAAAGACTAGTCATTGAGTACTTTGATTGATTACTTTGATGAATGGGGGGATGATCTATTACAATGAATAATTGAAACAAACTTAACGAAAGGTTCTTGGAGTCCATTTTGTTGTTCTCGGACCTCGCAGCAACTTTCACAAGAAACTCAATGAGCGCTTTGAGGACTTGGAAGTACACCCTCAGCGTTAGTTACAAACCAAATTCTATATCCATAACAAATGAAACTAGTATTAATAGAAATTGTTATATAAATCGATTTCAGGTTGAGTGCTGCATAACAAGAAAGTGACAATTCGCAAGAACAAAAAGTGCTGACAATAACAAACGGTGGGAGTTCACCGAGCAAATTTTGCATTTTTTTGAGGGTCTGATTTTTGTCGATTTTGTCGAGTTCGATGAAGACCAAAAAGAGGTCTGTGTTTTCTTGTGTGACTAAACTGTCTGGCAACTCTCTGAAAAAGACTTTAAAAACAGATCCGACGGTGTGTACGTCGTACTTATTTAAATCGACTGTTTGTCCCATGTTATACATCTTTTTGATTTCATTGACTATCGCAATATTCCCCGGGACTCTAAAAAGTCCTTCAGTCGATAATGCTGCGCTGTGTGTGTTGAAGTATTCTAAACAATCTACTAAAGGATATGGAAGACCATTTCGTAGTGGAACTTTTTCCAAAAGTAATCCAAAGACTTGAGTCATCAATTTATTATTTTTTTAGTTTGAAATTTATCAACTGTTAGTTAGTTCAATTAATTCACTTTTGTACTATATATTATAATAATATTTGATATTGTATAGTTTTAGTTTATAAAATATATCTTAAAAACTTGTATTATTAAGTAATAATTAATATATTATAAAATAATAAAAAATAACAGTTTGAAGTGAATCTTCTCAAAAAATTAATTAACGTGTTTTTATTAGACTATTTTAAATAATTAACGAGTATTATTGATTAATATTTCATGTTATTTAACGAATTTTTAAAATAATAAGAATTTTTCGATACAACAACTCGTTAATTTTAAAATGATGTTAAATAAAGATATTTCCAAGTCTTCTTGAAACAGAAAAAGATCGAGCGATAGAACTCTGAACTGTAAAACAAGAGTAAAATGTTTCTTGAATTATTGTCTCAGTGTAACTTACTGACTCATTCACCATTGACAAACGTTCTTCAGCTTCTTCCACGACAGTCTAAGGCTGAAGTCTTCACGACGATATTTAGAGAATTATTAGACAATAAAGAGAATAGCAAAGCGATGATTTCTGGTCTTCCACACCTCAACTTTTTCTATGAAATTGTTGGCTCTGCTTTTGCACTGCCGTTGTCACACGCCGTTCTAACACAACGGGCTTTGGACATATATAAGAATTGGGTGAATGAAAAGGAAACACGACCGAACCCAGTGAACGATGATATGAACACGTTCTTCATCACTGTATTTAAACACGTCTCCCAATTCTTCCAAGCGGAACCGACAACTATGATGGAACAGGAAGACATGAGAAACTCGATCTCCGTCCAAATTCTTCAATTCATCAGATCAATTTATATGAAGTTCCATAACACATTCAACGAAGAAGTCTATGACGTGTGCGTGAGAGTAATGATTGGGATTAACAAGGCGTACTTTGAACACCTGAAACTCCCCGAAGTCTCAAATGACTTTAGAGCCGAACTTGAATTGGCGCTGTACGAACTTCATGAGATCTGGATGCTCTCAGAAGAAATGAAGAGTGAACTCTGGGAAGTCATTTGGAAGGATTACGCTGCGTGGGAGAATGAAGTTGAGACCATTTCACAGTGGTATGGATTACAACAATCACTCACGGAAGCCGTGTTAAATCATTTAGGGAATGACGAAGTCAATATCGACTTTGAAGTGCAATGGCTTCCGTGGCACAACGAACACTTATTAGAGAAGTTTGTGATGTCGGTGTCGAAGAAATACGTCAATTACGCGTTCATTAGATTCTCAAGGTTCTTAGGAAATTGCATCACAAAGAGTCAAAAAATCTCGTTGCAAGCAACTCACGCGACAAAGTTACTGATTGAAACGTTTTACGATTACCCACAAGAGAAGTGCGACGGCAATATAGTCTTGAAGATCTTTGGAGACTTCATGTTCCAAACGATGATCATTAATAGAGAGAAGTACGACGATACAGTCAATATGGCATGCGACACTATACTGAAGGTGTTTGTTAACTTCGCGAATCGAACAACTTTCAGGCCGGAGTATATCGCGAATTTGTTTGCAGGACTGATATCGATATTGGATAACCCTAACCCTGTCTCCGTCACAGTCTTGTCGTATCCATTAATCCTCGACATCCAATTGCCCGGGATTGAAATGTTAATCCCCCACTATATCAGATATATCAATGAAGTCATATTTAAGGTCAACCCACCCCCTATACTCAGAGCTAATTTGTATCAATTGCTCTCGAAAATCATCCCAAGAATGACTTACTTCTCAAACCACGAAATCCCTGTGGTGACAAATCAATTGTACAAATCATATGAAGATATGGTCAAAGCAGTCGAAGACGTCTTGTCGAAGCAATTGAGAGACGAAAACGACTTACAGTTGGTCATCGACTTATTTGAGATCTCGCGTATCTATCAGTGCGAGATCAAGTCGATGCCATTCAACGATTTGTTGTTGTCACTTCTTGGAAGACAGTTCTCGCAATGGATTAAGGCGTCTTCGATATTAAGACTGCCACAGATGGGTATGGCCTTTTATAAGTTATACCAAACAGCGTCTTTGCTAGCTTTGAAGAATAATGAGTACTTAGTGAAGATGTCTGACTCATTGATGAAATGTTACTGTGTCTTCATTAATGAAACGAACTTCCAAATCACTAAACATGGAGACTTTGTTATCATCATGAACTTATTGTTGAGGTACATCTTCGGATTGATTGGGTTTGTCCCAACTGTCTCCTTTGGGAATTACTCAACGGTCATAGATCGACTGAATACATTGTCTAATGAAGCTTCCCATGAGGTCGCTGATAGTATTAAAATGTTTAACACAAATATTATGATCACTAAAGTGAATACACAACTATATTCACACTCTCCTATCTCAGAGAAATCAATTGGTGCGTCAACGCCAGAGTTGTTACAATTCCATTCATTCTTCTTCTCAAGTGAAAACTCATTGGTCACGTTGATCGACCTCCCAGCATACTTCTTGCAACAAGAACTTCCGATGTTGATGATAGTGAGAACTTCTTACACACAAACCGTCTGCGGGATCAAGTTAATACCACCAATACCTTTACAAGAGGTTCCCCCACAAAAACAAATCACTGGGGAGACCATGTCATTCTCTGCGGAAAAGAGTGGCTCGTACCAATTCAAAGGAAATGAAACACTTGCACAGATGTTGGATGGCGCTTACTCACAGAAGACTCAACAACTTATTGCGTCTTTGAAGTCGACGAAGAACACTATATTGCCTATTGATCCAAATGAAGACATCCCTATCATCGATATCAACACAACAACATTCCCAACACCTTTGAGTACATACACTGTCGCTAAATTGTGCTGCGCACTGAATGTCTTCCCCGAGAATACCACCCTCAAACACGTTCCATTCAACGACGAATTCATATCAAAGACTCTAGTTGACATTGATCATATAGCAACTCGACCACAATACATTGTGTCACTTGTGAACGTGAAGGACGGACAAGTATTACACAATTCAAGAGAATATGAATGGTTTGTCCAACGACTTGGGTGGATTGTGAAGGTGTCGGACGCGTCGTATCATCTTTTCCCAGAGAGTATTCTTGAACAGAAAGAAAACATTGTAGCGTTACCAATGGTCTGTACTCCAACAGAACAAATACTTTTCTGTTCAAATTCAAGAATTAAGAAAGAAGAAACACAAAAGAAGCTTTGGGAAATCTCTGACTTCGTCATCTTGTGGGGTGGAAACAACGGAGACACACAAAAGTTCTCTACGGAGTGTATAGTTAAGAACAAACCATTCATTGCTATCGAACCACTTGATGATGGTAGATTCGCTGTTTATAACGAAAATCTGTTGGGACTCGATTACGTCGTCTTGTCTGCTGGGGGGCTTATTAGTTTCGTTACTTGCACCATTCGCTCGATCATTCAAAGGTCGGAAACGACGTACGCTAATGCTACTAAAAGACAAAACATCATCTCTGAAATCTATAACAAAATCGCTATACCACTCACCGCTGTCAACTTCGTGTTCGACGCCGCTACTTGCAAAACACCGTGTATCAATGGTATCAGCTTCGGGCCTTCAGATTTTAAAATCCAAAACACTCAGAAGAGTCCAGCAGTCATGACTTGCTTGAACAGAACCTTTGAGGGCGTGTCTAATTGAGGCACTTTATTCGTTCTATTTACTATTTACTATACTATATTTTACTTTAAATATACTATTTGATATTTCCTATATTTAGAATAACACTACAGTAAGGCAAACGAACCTTAGCCTGGGAAATGAACATTAGCCCTTCTATTTTTAATTTTTCTTATAAGTTATTGATATTTTTCTTTAAAAATGAGGGTTTTATTTTTAAAAAAGAAATAAAACTAAGTTTTAAAAAATGTACCTTAGCCCCAACAAATGCCCATTGGGAAAAAACGGGAAATTTAAGGTGATATTGGTTGTTTTTGAACTTTAAACTAAAAAAAAGAAATGAAAGACGCACTGTTGTTTACAAGACTCGGTGGTGTGAATTTGGTCATCTTGTTGATTTTTATCAATAAAAACATACAACTGAACTTTATTGAAGTTCATTGGTTAAAACACAACACGACAACTGTTTGTCTGACAATAAAGTAGCAAATATCAATTACAATACGAATTAAAAGTATCTTCTAACCTTTTTAGACTTACATCGGTTACTTCTTGAATTCGAACAAGTGTGGTGGCAGACTTGGGTGCCGTCAATTTCTCCAGTTCTTCAGGTGTTGGTTTTATTGTCGAAGTGTTCATAAAAACTCTTGCAGACCTAATGTCCACATACACTTTATTGTTCAACCCTTCTATCACAACAACAAAACCTGCTCGTTGGAAAGAAGCTTCAACGTTCTTTCTTGTGGCTTTTTCTTCAGTGGTTCTCATCACCTTCATGAGGTGTCCAGTAATGACACTGCCTTTTTCTGCACGTTGTTGGGAAGTGGCTTTCTTGGTAATTGGGTCATCCAATTCTTTTACCCATTTGTCAATCAATGTATCGAATATACCAACACCATTCCCAACAATTTCTAAAATTTGAGAAGAAGACTTGAAGGCACTCAAAGGTTGATCATGCCTGACAGTTTTAACGACGCTTGTAGTGGTGCTCTTAAATATTGGTGTTGAAGAGCTACCAAACTTCTTGATTACTTCGAACAAACACAAGTCAAGAGGTTGACAAATGTGACTAGTGTGTGGTTCGAAAAAATGGAACATAATGTAGTTGTCATAGAAAATTTTGCTTAAACTGTCATCGATGTGGGCAGAGAAATTATCCATGAGTATGATAGCAACAGTGTCAATAGTGTAACCCAATGCTGCTCTTTTTTAATAATGTATGGCAAGAGCGTCTGATACATCCACGTTTTAAATATGAGACGATTCACAAATCATGTTTTAGAAGTGTAAATATCCAGATATGGATATTTCGCACAAACCAATTTATCCACAAACACATTTGGCACGACTGCTGCTGGTACACACAACTGTCCATCTGCAGATATACACGCTATAATTGTGCTCCTTTTTGAAACTCTGGGAATGCCAACTTTCACGTTTGAAGTTACTTTAGTAAAAACAGTGACATTGTGTTTATCAGCCCATTCGTTGAATTCAACTTCGTCAATGTCGAACAACAATGAAGAAATTATACCATTAAAGTTATCAGCAAAATTTATATAATTCAACAATATTTTTTTGAAATATGTTAAAACTCTTTCAATTTCTTATGTTTTGGCTAAGCTGGTAGAGTAACCGTGGATTTTTTAACGTGTGTAATAATTCCTTTTCTTGTCATTTCGAACATACAATCGATATTCTGGCAAACTGCATCAACAAGAGTTGGTGTTACACTCAAATTTCTCGATTCACAGTAATTAAACAATGCTGAAATTGAAGTATCCATTTCATCGGTGATTTTTGCAAAATGTTTGGGTTCAACATTTGGTTGTTTAAGATGGGTTGACACTGCTCCTTTTTGAATTCCGAAAAGAGCACCCAGTATTGTATTATATTGTTTAGTCTGTGTTTTCAAATATTTAGTTGCTCGATTGTAGTTTTAAACTCGTACAGATTAGGTTCAATTATCAAATCGTTGGCCAATTTAGTTGCTACTTCTTTTGTTTCCTTAGTGATAAGTTTTTGTTCAAAAAGTCGTTTTATGTTTTTCAACATCTCAACGTTTGAAATTGATGGTTTTCTTTTTGACCTGATTTGAGGTGCTGTAAATGGTTTCACGACTTGGTTTTCTTTCACAATTTTTTGATCGCGTCAAAGAAAGTGTCCGGTTCTTCTCTTTGCATTTGAATTTATAGTTTTGTTATTTTTGGATATTGGACTCATTGATGTTTTTAAAATACTTTATAATATTCCAAAATAGTTTATTTTTTTAGTAAAATAATAGCTTTTATTTAGTTAATGTGGGGCTAAGGTTCATTTGACAGGCTAAAGTTTGCTTACCCTACTGTGATTATTAATTGTTGGACTGTTTGGTTTGTGGTGAAGTCTTGGAATACCAAAACATGTGAGAATTTTATTTCTTATAATCTTGAATATGTTGTTAAACAGAGAGATGGTTTTACATTTGTGGAATTTTATAATTTTATATCAGTAGCACAATTATTACTGCTTGAGTATTTATATAATCTTTAAATAAAATAGATTCCGATAAAAAAATACATTTCGACTGAAGAGAATAACATTAGCTTACTTATAGTTCGTTAAATTACTTAAATAGTTTAATTGACGCGGTTGAATCCCCCAAGTGGCATATTCTCACTGAGTGTTTGTATCAACCCCGAAAAGTTTCCAAGAATTGAACCTTCCGCCAACTGCTCGATGGAGTCAAACACAATAATTTCTCCCACCGACAACACAAAAGCCCCGAAGAGATTTAACACTTGTGACAACGCAAAGTAAGACAACAATGAGAAGTATGACACACTTCCTCCATACATCATATAACTGAAAAACATTATAACAGGCATCACAATGCAAATGGTACTTCTTGTGATGCTATCGACCATTTCTCTCATGTGGAATTCAGTGACGATCCCACTCATACTACTCTGCTTAATTTTTTCATCAAGTCCACAAGAAGAGTGGATATATGTGTGTCCATAGTATCCCACAAAGATGAATGGAGTGATCCGCTCTTGTCTTGATGTCTGTTCTGATACAAACTTAGCCAGTTTCATTCCAAATTTCTGCGTGTTATATATACAACCAATTGAATTCAACAGAACACATTAAAAAGAGCAAAAACAAACCGTCTTCGAGAGTGGAGTCTTCAAGAGGACGTTACACACAGAAACGCATTTATTAATCAAACTTCTTTCAATAGCAAATGAAGCAGACCCGAGCCGGAGGGACAGTGTTTTCAAAAGAGCTTCAAAGAAGTTCAGTCCTTTGTTCTCGTGTAATTTGAACGCAACGGTGGCACTCATGAACATCGACACAATCGCTTGAAGGGAATTAGAAAACACGTTTGAGAGCATTAACAGCATAACACTCGATGCCAATGCAAAAGGTGGAGATGGTCGTGGGTACCACACCAAATTGAGAGCGACGATGCTTCTGAATACAATCAGCGTTCCAATACCAAAAATAGTGATAATAACAAGTGAAGGTAACAACACAATGATTGACTTGAATATCATCGAGAACGTTGCATTGAAGACAATTGATGTGACTGTCCAGTTAATCTTGAAGTTGGTCACGCTCTTGTAGATATGGAAGAGCGCAACGACCAAACAAATGAGCAACTCGATTGGATAATGTGAAAGTCCGTTATTCATCCCTAAGTAGAATAAAAGAATTGGAACAACAAGTGCGGTGGACAATATCGATATCAGTGAGTTCAAGTAGATCACCGCTGTCGGGAGAACACATTGAAGTAAAAAGATCGCAAAGAAAATGGGGAGAGAAAGTACTACAGAGGTCACTAAAAATGGAAAGTGAACGTATGAAAAGATATCTCCAGAGACCCACGTCTTCCGTGTAGTATCCACAAACACGTTATGTGGGTCTTTAATAAAGCCAAGTGTTGTGAAAAATACTATGTATGCAAATAAGCATATGACAGTCGCAAAGCCTTTTCGGTCATTCATCCGATCGATTTTGTAATACGAAGATTTGTTGAAAGCTTCCTCTGGAAGTGGTATCTCCATTTTACTCTTTTTGAGTTTGAGGTGAACAGGTCTTTGTTTTGCTTTACTTTTTTTGTGATCATTTATAACGTACGTTTAATAACATTTTTTTGTTGAAAAAAGTTATTAATGTATTTTATCGTCCGTTCTATTGTTTTTTTGAATTTTAATTTAAAAATATTACAAATTGGTTATATATTATAATTTATTACTATTAAAATTTAAATGTATTGATAGTTGTTTGTAAGTCTAAAAACTTAGAATAATATTAAAACATAATTGGTTTTATTAAAACAAATTCTAATACAGTAAATTGTTTTATTATATTGAATTTTCCATTCGATAAATCTATATGTTCTTCATTTTTTCGTTTTTTTTATTTTTTATTAACTTTTGGAAAAAACTGCGATAATCTTTTTTTATTTAGTAAAAGATTTTTTTTAAAATTAAATAAATAAACTATATTGTTTATTATACAAATAATAAAGGATTTTAATATTAAATAAATATTTTTAATTATATCCTATAAAAAAAATGTATCAATATTTTATCCAAAACAATTACCAATATTTGTTTGATAAAAACAAAATTATCTTAATACATTCTTCTCAAGATTTTGATCCAGACATTATCATTACTTGATCCATAAATAGATTTATTTAATATGTATTTTAAATCATTTATAATTTCCTTTCACTTGATTTTGTCATTGAATAACTTGAATTGCTTTAATCTTGAATACTACAACATCTACAATACCCAAAGTTGATTCCACGTCATTCAGATATATTCCGAAATTTTCAATCTTGAAATGGGATTGACCAATCATAATTTCATATCACAATCCTCAGTTACATTCCTTCATTTCAACCATTTCAATAAAAAATGAAAAAATAAACTATAATGAATAGTATTAGAACCATACAAAGAACTAGATGACAACTGTTTCTCATCAACTATTCAAACTCATAAAGTACTAATGTTTAACTGGTTATTTGGTACCAAGCCTTCACAACCTGCTGTTGCATCACCTCGTGTCGTTCGTCCGAACACCAAAGACGTCGAGTTGGCGACGTATCATGAGAACTGGTCGATCAACAACTTCACAGAAAAAGACTTCAAACGGATATTTAAAAGCCTTTCATTTCCGGACCTCCTCTCGTGTCGTCTAGTGTGTAAAAAGTGGAGGGACATCTTAACAGAGACACAGTCAGTCATATTGACCGAACCAAATACGGCTGTCGCAAAGGTCTTTCCTAATATCAAAAGTCTTTCTATCGACCCAAGTGCACGAACTAATGCGGCAGATTTAGTGGCTCATTTGCCTTCTTTGACATCACTTCGATGTCCTGTATTGAAGATTGAAGAGACAACACTTGCTGCAATGACCAATTTAAAAGTGTTGGATTGTCCTATGGTGAAGGCTCCATTTGGTGTTGAGTGCTTGTCAACAAAATCAATCGACAATTTGGGCTCGTTCAAGAACTTGACTGCTCTGACTTTGATTGGGATCAGCGATAAGGACCTCCCAGTGATCGGGAAATTGTCTGCGCTGGAATCTCTTAGTATCTCATCAAAGAACTTTACTGGGAAAATAGATTCTTTGGTAGATGTGAGTAAATTGGTCAACTTAGAAATCTCTAAAGCGTCGCTTGTGCCCGAGTTCTTCTATAATTTGTACCTCTTCCCACATTTGGAGTTCATTGGATTCATTAAGTGCACACTTCCAGTCTCGCGGATCAATCCGCAGACTCCATTGTCTCAATTGGGTCCTTCTGATGGGTTTATATTTATCATTGGGTGCAATTCACTGCGATATTTGTACTTGAATGAAAGTGAAATCACTGAGTACCACATCGAAGTGATCTCTCGTATGGAGGAGTTGATTGGGTTATCACTCAAGGGGTGTAAAACACTTGGAGACTACATGCTGAATTCATTCAAGAACGCGCCTTTGTTAGACTCATTGGAGGAATTAAATATCTCTGAGACTATGGTCACACATATTGGACTTCAAATAATCAGTCGATTTGAATTCCTTCGAGTGCTCGACATATCAAAATGTGACGGCATCAAGTTACTTTCACCGATCAATGACTTGGAGAATTTGGAAGTTCTAAGGATGAGCGAAAATAGAATCAACGCAGAGACACTCCAAGACGGGTTTAAAATGCCACAGGAGTTCCTCCAAGAACTTCTTCTTGACGCGGAACCAATCAATGACCCTCTGCTCATGGTCATTGCTTCCAAATTCCCAGGTCTTGTCAAAGTTGATTTGCGAAAGAGCTCTGTGACGTCCACCGGACTTGATGTGCTCCACAATTTGACTTATTTAAGGTACGTTGATCTGTCATATACAGCAGTGGACGATAATGCCTTTGAGTATCTTCAGAATCTCGCATTCATGGAGAATTTGGTGATGGAGAAGTGTTTAAAAGTCACTGGATTTGGGGCAAGCAAACTCACTAAAGTGCCAGGGCTTCGTGTGCTCAATATGAATGGGTGCAAAAAGGTCGACATTTCTGGTGTCAAAGAAATGAGTGAATTGTCTGTTCAAACGTTGCGACTTTCAGGGTGTGAGTTGATAGGAGATGAGGTATGGAATTTCCTGAGCCAGATGGAAGAATTGAAGCGTGTTGATTTGAGTGGGACGCCTGTTGGGGATCACGGCATCCAACAAATTCAAAAGGCCAAATGGTTAGAGGTGATTTACTTATCGAAAACAAAGGTGACTGATGAAGGCGTTTCTGAACTTTTGAAGTGTCGCTTATTAAGGAAAATAGATGTGAGAGGATGTAATGTGGTTAAACAATATAAGACTGCTTGTGTGATAATGACGTCGGAACTAGAACAACTTAAAAAACCCGTTTCCAAGAAGAGTAAGAAAGAAAAAGTCCAAAAAGAGGAGAAGATGGAAAAAATTGAGAAAATTGAGAAGTAACCGTGGTATGGTTCAATCTAACTAAGTTTTTAGTATTTTTAGTATTATTTTATTAAATTCAAAATGTCAAAATAGTTCAGTTTTAAGGAACAAAGTCGAGTCCATATTGGACTGAATTGTCGATTTGAATTTTACTTGTCCTTTCAGTTGTGAAAGAAAGAAACACGATCAATTAAGTTACACCCGTCTTATTAGAACACAACAATCATCCCATCTTTAGCAACAAAAGTCTCTACGCCTGTTGTGTTCTTTACTTTTTCTGCCATTCTTTGCACATAACTCTGTGAATATCGTGAACTGAAGTGATGGAGGATACACTTCTTTGGAACGAACTTTTTGATCTCTTCTGAGACGATTTCAGGACAGGAGTGGCCCCATTGCTTTGATTTGTCTTTCAAGTCGTCGTCGAACGTACATTCATGGACGATTACATTCACTTGGATGTGATTTTCTAAGATGTAGGTAGTCATAGGACTCATTGATGTAGTGTCTCCCGTTACTACTAAAGTCTTATCTTCTTTTCTTTCGTAATGCAGTTGACATAGAATGGCATGGCCGGGTACATCAGGCATATGGGGTATGGGGACACATGTGAAGTCACAGTTCTTGTACGAGACTTTAGTAGGGTTGACATCGTCGTAATCGATAAAGGTGATTGTCTTTGGAAATTCCTCTCGAGAAAATTTGAATGCTTGTTCAGCTAACTCCTTTGTCCCTTTTGGTGCGACTATAGTTAATTGCTGTGGTGTTGCAAAGACTACCGAGTGGATGAAAGAGACTATTCCTCCAACATGGTCGATATGTGAGTGTGTAATAAATAGAATACGAATGCGCTGTGCTGGGACTTTCATTTGTGCAAGTAAATAAGTAACACCCTACTAATGATATAATTCATAGAATAATGCCTTTAGACGGGTATTAAATTATAGGTTTGAATTGATTCTAAAATAGTAAAGTCAAATTCTTATGATTTTTAACTTAAGGAACAAACATCACCACAATCAAACATAAATAGGTCTTTTCCTTTATTCGTGTATAAAACGGTGGAACTGGTGCATCGATTAAGAACGGGACGAGCAGAACCTGTTCCAACAAGTAAAAGGTGGTCCATTACTTGTTTTTTCGATTAGAGTTGGAAATAGTGTTTAAAACTATTTTGTATTATATTTATAGTATTATAATAGTTTGTTTGTTGTTTATTCGTATAGTTTATTTTATTAATAATATTATTGTATCATTCACAACCATCTTTTCTAAATAAAGAATTATTAATTTATAATTATAATAATAGTAAAATATAATATAACAATTAAATTAAAATATTTGATTTGAATTATATGATTGAGTTTTTTAATAATAATAAGATAATTTACAATTTCATAGTTTATTATTTATAAATAAGATTACACACTGTCTAAAAATCTTAATCAATCATTCTTCTAATTAAATAGTAAAATATTCAAGATTTTTTTAAACTACACAATACAAATTTATAGTAAAATAGATATATTTATTGTTATACCTCAAAATCCATATTTTATTGCATTTTTTTAAACAATTTAACATAAAATTAATTAAAAAAAGGAGACCTAATTTTTAATAGTATTTTACTATTATCAAATTAATAGATTTAAAATAAAATACTTTTCAGGTTATTTTTAAATGGCAATTTTTAATAGTTATGTTTAATTAATAGTGTAGTATTGTCTCGTAATTAGCAATATAGTTTATACTAATAACAAAAAACAATTAGAATTATGTGAAGATTTATTCCTTATCTGAATCTGCACTGTTATGTCCATCATCACTTTGCTCTTCTTCCTTTTTAGAATCCCTTTTAGTTTTGCTTTTAGTTGTTTTGACGCAAACGACGCAATTTTCTTTGAACTTAGTTTGAATGCCGCAATTTTTTGCGTCGATTTTTCTGATGTTTGGAAGGGTTAACAGAAGTTTAACACTTTTTTCAGTCACGTGAGTGTTAAACAAATAGACGACTTCAAGCCAAGTACACTTCTTAAGTTCTTCTATTCCATCATCATTCAAGTTATTAAAAGACATATCGACACGTTTCAGGTACTTCAGTTGTACTAAATGTTTATAAATAGCTGACGACAAGTTAGGGCAAGTTGAGATGCGCAAAGTTTCCACCGTGAGTTCTTTCATTTCTTCAATAGCAGAGTCCGTCAGTTGTTTACACCCATTGAGGTTTAACACACGAAGGCCATAGAGTGTTTTTAATTGTTTAATTCCTTCTCCTGTGATATTAAGACATCTCTTCATCACAATACTTTCAAGACATAAAGCCTTAGACAATTGCCCAAATACTTCATCTTTCACTTCGGTCGATGACAAGTCGATAAATCTAATGAATGGAATGATTTCAAGTGATTCCAAGCCCTTAGTAGTGATGTGACTATGTTCTAAGTTCAAAACTTTTAATGAAGGAATTTTGGTACAGCAAAGGGAGACCAACGCATCATCAAATGAGTCCGAAGCGACTGTAATTTGCTTCAGATGTTGTGAAGGGTTTTGGAGAAGTCCATCGAGGGTGTTCTTGTTCACTTCAACATTCTTCATCTTAAGGATTTCAAGGTTCTTCAGCTCGTCGAGGGGGGAAAGGACTTTAATAGCGCCACAGTTACTAATATCCAACACTCGTAAATTTTTCAAGGAAGACACGACTTGGAGTCCAATATGTGAGATCAAAGTATCAGACAAATTTAACTCTAAAATGTTACCTGCCACAATCGACTCTCTCAGGAGTAATAAAGCATTGTCCGTGAGTAAAGTACATCCTTTGAAAGAGACTACTCGTAAGTGTCTTAACCTTCCTATGACTTCCATGTGGTATTCGGAAACATTTGAAGAAGTGATGTTAAGGATGTGGAGTGCATTACATCCGATTAAATAAATGAACCCATCTTTGGGCCCTAATTGAGATAAAGGAGTCTGTGCTGGCACAGTACTCAATGGTAAAATACACTTGTTGAGCTTCAATGTAAATAACTTGGGGAAGAGGTACAAATTGTAGAAGAATTCATGAGACAGAGATGACCCCGTGATTTCTAAAGAAGTCAACTGACTGACGTCCACTAACGACTCGATTTTACCGACAAACTTTCGCGAGTTAATGGAGAGTTTTTGAAGATTCGTCAATTTCGATATTTGGTCAATGTCACGGTCTTGTACCCCATTCAAAGATAACGACACAAGGTGGTGGTATTTCGCCACCTTCTTGATAGAGTCTGTTTCATAGTAGGAAGAGTACTTTGGTGGCTCTACATCGGGACAATCCAAATTCCTCAAAGTTGTCATTTTATTAGCAGTATTTTGTGGGATCATCCTGCATTTCAGTGAAGTTAACTTTGAAAATCCAAGGAGCAATTCTGATGGGTCGGACTTTTTATTTGGGTCGATAGCAAGCTTTGTTATATTTGGGAAGACTGTCGCGATTTTTGGTATTGGCTCCAATATATTGATTTCCTCGACTTGACTAACAGAGTCTCTCCACTTCTTCGACACTGATCTGCACATCAAAAGGTCGTGGAATGAGAGGTTTCTAAAGATCCGTTGGACGTCCTTTTCTTCTAAGAAATCGAATTTCAATTTTTCAGGAGTGTAAGGAGTAGAAGTCTCTTTCAATCGTTTTAAGCTCTTGTCCTTGTGCATAGTACCATTTGACGATTTGGTACGTGGTTTTTTCAAGTTGTTCAACCAAGCAAGCATGTTGTGAGTACTGATTGATTGTTCGTCCCTTATTTATAACGAGCTATTTTACTCTAACCATTTTAAGCTTAACGCTGATTGGTATTCGTATTTTAAAACTTATGATAAAGTACCAAATATGAAGAGAATTTTGGTTGGACAACGTTTTGGGAAGGAAATTTTGGTGTAAACTATGGCGTTTTATGGTGTGTATAAAGGTCTTTTTATATTCAAATGACCGGGAAGTTATCCTTATCTTGAGATGTAAAAAGGAAAAGGATTTTCTCGCGTAAACGGACTTTAATTATAAATTGTTAATGGTTAAAACAATAAGACAATTTGGTTATTGGGGATTTTTTTTCTTTTTTAGATACAGAAAATTTGAGGCAAATTAATGATTTAAACAGACTTGTTAATACTAAATATATGGGATAAAATACTAAAAGTTCAAGTTCCCAAAAATGCAATTTTATTTAATATAGAAATAGTATCTTTTAGTAATCAATTTTTAGAAAAAGATCCAGACGTTTAGAATAAAAAAATCGGAATAAAAATAAGAAAAGTGAATGATATATTTGGGCGGTTCAAAAAGTAAAATAAAATAAAGACATAAAACCGGCAGAAATGTTTTGTTTTTAAAAAGAAAAATCTTGTCTTAGCAAATAAAAAAAAGAGTCAAAAAAGATATATTGAATATTATGAGAATGGTAAAAAAAAGATAAAAAAGAAAAAGTATTATTGCGAGATATTTTTGTTTGGTATTTATTAGTATATTTTTATTAATAATTGGCAAATTTTATGATTTTATATTTTTTAATTAAATATTATAATTAATGTTATGTTAATTCGACATAATTAATATATGTTTGGTTATTTCATATTGGTCTTGCTCATCATTTAATAACATGAAGGAAAAGGTAACTCGGTGGTTAACATAATTTAAATTAACTATTTTATAATTCCTAATTTTAATAATTCTTTAGATAAAAGATTTGGTTTCGGCGACTGTTATTTTAAGATAAATCATTTATTGGTTCTTTTACTAGTATTAATAAATGGTTGTAATATTAATAGAAATCTTATAACTAATTGTTTATATTTAGTTTGGAATGTGGATTTTTGAGGCAAAGTTTCGAGATGACAAATTCCAACTTATGTTACAAAGAAAAAAAACTATTGTTTAATTTTTTTTTGATATTATTATATTAATAATTTTACTATATATAAAATAGTATTAGTTCAATTTATTTAAATCAATAATAATAATATGAAATAATTTGCACGTGTTATCAATTAGAAAATTATTTCATTATAATTACATAATTATTCCATGTATAGCCAAACTCAAAACGAAATTTTTATATTTACTTACATTGTTTCTTTTTTTAGGCATTTCGGCATAAAATAAGAATTTGTTAATGTGCCGAAAAGTATTTAAACATTTAGTTAATAACGTATTATAATAAACTATTTTTTAATGGTTTTTCGATTTGATATTTATTGAAAGGTACAAAACTAATGTGACATGTTTTTTTGGTTTTCTATTCTCAAATTTAAATACGACAAAAACTTATAATAATAATGTAATTAAATTTATTTAAAATATTAATTTGATATTATGGAAATTTGTAAATTTTTTTTAATCAAATAGTTCTTTAATTTAATAAATAATTGTTATAATTTAGAATATTTTTAAATAAAACTTAAATTATTTTATTTAATAAAATATATTATACCATATTTTGAATAGTAAATATTGAGTATAAAATACAATTAAAAAAAATACTAAATTAATAAAAAATATTTACAAATATTTATAGTTATTTTCACGAAGTATTTTTTCAATAATTTATAACGAACTTTTTAGATAAATCCAAAAAATTATAATATACAATCAAGAATACCATTAATAGATATAATACAATAAACTATAATTTTACCAATTTTTATATTTAATCAAAACATATCCAAAAAACCCATGGAGTCTGAAGTTATACAACTGAAGTCCCAAATTGATAAATTAAAAACCATAGTATATGCCGTTTGTGAGAAATACGCTGATTTAGAGACACGAGTTAATGACACGGCGTCAAGACAAGATACGACAGAAATCAATTTGAAAAACATTTCGTCTGATTTTTACACGAACCGTGTGTTATTCCCAGAGAAACGGACAAACCCTGAGTTGTGCCCAACTAAAACTAAACCATTACAAACACCACCACTACTCCTTCCTCAATCGTTTGATTTGAACAAAAGTTTCTCGCAGTTACCCGACAGTGAAACGAGTGAAGTGTTCAACAAGAGTTCATCACTTTTATCAATGAGAGTACCTTTGATGAATGTTCCAGTGAATTTTGATATCACTGTGAGTGTCAGTTCCAACTCCCCACCAACACTGAGCGGACCGAATGTGTACTTTATAGACTCAATGGCGAGCGAAGGAGTGACTGCGACGATGTTTTGTAAATTGCACGAGTGGTGTGGGGCGAGTTCTTATCACCTTTATTTTGACTCCCGCATTGGTCCAATAGAAGACGACACTTTAAATAAGGCGGTTGGAGTCGATTGGGACAAAACAGCGAAACAAACGAAGAAGCGTGTGTTATACTTGTTTGTGACAAGTGATGGGTATGTCTTTGGTACAACACATCGCCGAGTTGGAAAGACTGAAGATTCAACTACTAAAGTAGTCATGGACGATGCAGACAGTTTTATCTTTAGTTTAATTAATCCGACTAAAACGGCTATGAAAGTCATACCAAAGTATACACTAACGACTGATTTATATCAGAACAACCACAATTACTTCATTAATTGCGCTTTTTCTTTAAAACGGAATGAAACTAAAGAGTTGGAAGGAATGTTCTCAACTAACTTCTCTACCTATTTTAAAACAGAAAAGGTCGTCCAACACGGAGAAGACGCTTACTTCTTAATGAATTCACCAAACAAATTTATTGTGAAGAGAGTAATTATCTTTTACTATGAAAAGTAAGGATTGGATGGTTTTGCACTGATTGTGTGATTTGAAGGGGAGTTATAAAATAATTGAATGAATCTTTTATATAAATTTGACTATCTCAACTATTTCATTATTATTATAAAGTTCAAATTTTGACTTTTTCAATTTTTTGTTAAAAATTGAAAATGTCAATTTTTATCTTTTTGAACAGTTGAAAACAAATTGACAATCTCAATTCTTCAATAATTAACTAAAAATTCAATTTTCGATTATTTCAATTTTTTATCCGAAAATTGACAAAATCAAAAAAAAACTTAAAACACGAAGAAATAATTTACAAAAAAACAATTAGAACACAGTTCTGACCATAAAACATGCACTTGAGTAGAATTGGCTATTTTGATCAGTCAAATTAAAAAGAGTGAACGATGCTCTTTGAATAGTTTCTTCATTAATTTTGACTTCAGATTGGATTTGCATTTTCATGTTAATATCGGCGTTTGGATAGAATTGCACTAACGCACTGATATTCATTTTTGCTTGGTTGATAATATTAATATAATATTCTCTTATTTGGTCCGATGAATTATTTAAATTATTCAGAGAAGACATTGATGGTGAAGCACATATAACTTGTGACGATTCATTTGAGTCTTCCGTCTTTGGGATCTCTTCATCATTCACATAATTCTCAATGAAAGGAATGGAAGTGTCTTTTAACTTCCAGAAGCCAGAGACGTGGAAATGTTCTTTGCCACTAATAAAGAACCTCGAGTGGTTAATAGCATCTAATAAACTCTTTCTCCATTTGTCTTCAGAGAATTGGGATAACTTCGAAATGATAGTCCAATGTGATTCAATCAATTGGGGAACATCAGTCTTGACTGAGAAATATTCTTGTGAAGGATATTTATGCATTAAAGATAAGTAAAATATCCTTGAAAGAGTGATCCAAGGGATGTACCGATTGTGTTGTATGACTTCTTGCATTTTACATAAGAGGCAATCACATTCAAGTGCACACATATTCATTAGTATTGTTTTGATTTTCAAAAGATGGAAAACCCTTTTATTCTCAACGAATTTATATTTATAATTTTTTATAGAAGTGTTTTTTAAACTTTTGAACTTTAATTGAAGTGCCATTTATATTCATATGAATGGCTTTCATGATTTGTAATGTAAATGTCTCATACAATCATTCGTTAAAATAAAATTTATTTTTATTTAAAAATATGGTATTTATATTAATATAAATACTATATATTTGATTGTAAATAAATAAAAATTATTAATAACTTAAAATGGAGAATTCAAATAATGTTAAATCATCAGACATAAAAAGAATTGACTTTTTATTGAAATCTACTATTTATGTGGAGAAGCAAATTCGAATCGCTTCTCAAAACATCTTTTTGCGGTGAGTTTTGTCTTGACTTTTATTAAATTTTGCACTTCAACTTTTATTTTTATTTTGGTACCAGTTCCTTTTGAAGTTCCATTTTTACACAGAAATTATTAATCAATAAAATGTAATAAATCGGGTGTTTTCTTAAGTTTTTTTTGTATGGATCCAAAGTTCGAAAAGTGTAAAAAAGGTGCAGTTTCTTGACTCGTTTGAAACTTAACCACATGAATACAATTTAGCGAAAGAACAATGTTAATATTATTATTGTTTGATTTACAGGATTTTTTATTATTTTGAAAACGGATAATTAGCTTTGTTTTTGAAAAGCGGCTGTTGTGATAATTATAATAAAGGATGGACCAATCCTAAATATGGCTTCGGGAAAAATAGCAATTATTGGACAAGATTCCCGAATTTCTTAAAGTGACACATGGGTACATGTGGCAACACGGGGTATAAAAATAATGCGCCAAAAATCAGTAAATAACCGGGTGATTTGTTTATGATTTGAAAATAATTTTAATAACAAAGTGATTCTAAAAGTGAAGAAGCAAAAAAGGTTTTGCTTAACCACTTTTATTTATTATAGTTTATTAAAACGTAATAAATGATCAATTGTAATCTTTTGCACTGGAATGAAATGATTTATGGTTGTTTTTGTATTTAATAGATTTCAAGAAAAAGTCATTAAATTATTATTAATATTTATTATAGTTTAATCAATAATATTGGTATCAATATAATTACTAATAAAAAAGAATAAAAAAATAATAAATTTATTTTGAAATGATTATTAATTAAATTTTAATTAACTTTATTATATTAAATAATAAAAACTAAAAAAAAAATAAAATAACTTAATATTTTTATAACTAATTTGATTATGGTATTTCGATAATAAAAAATAGAAAAAGTCATTGAATGAGTTTTAAATTTTTATTTACAAATAAACTAGAAGACTAATAAAAAGAACCAAAATATACTATACAAAATTGTTATAAAAACCAAAATACGATCTGAAAAGTGATGAGTGATTACAATCATTTGTTTTCATCAATCTTTCAACTGCAATCCTCGATAAGTCGTATTGAATATGAATATTTAACGGAAGATGAAAAGTCGTTAGAAGACATTGCTGGTCGAGCACTCTTTAATTATCAAACGAACAGTTGTTCCAACGAATCATTGCAATGGTTGTCCACAGAGAATTGGTACAAACAACCCATATGGCGTGCAAAGGTTGTCGAGTTGATCACAAAAGGACTTATTGCTCCGTTCATTGAAGAAGAAGACGACACCGATTATAATGGGGAAGAGTATTGTGTGATGTGTGGAGTGTGTCCCAAAGACAAACGAATTGGATGGAATTGGATCAAATGTTCGACAACTAAAGGATCACATTTGATATGTTCATTGTGTTTGGTCAATGGATTCTTCGTGTCTAATAACTTCGAACAACTGTGTGGGTTAAAGTACAACTGTAAGGCCTGTAACAAAATCTCTAATATCATCTTCGTTCCACCACATAGAAACGCTTTCTCAGATCAATTCAAAAACGTCCAAAAGAAACGGGTCACAGGAAGAAGAGGAATTCAATTCTTAAACGGAAAACCAGTTGAAAATAGTAATTTATAGTTTTTCTTTAGTTCATTGATGTAAGTTGTAATTATTAAATTTTTTAATAATTATTGTTGTTAATATGAATTGATTAACATATATAATTATTACTATTATTTATAGTAAATTACTAAAAAATGAAAAAATAAAACTATAATTTATCTATATTTTTTTTAAACAAAAAAAATAAAAATAGAAATTTATGAAAAACTCATCCCATCACAATCCAAAAGATTGAGAATTTTGGAACGAACTTACATTTAAGGCATGAAAATATCCGAGAGAACAATTTGTAAACTGAAAACCAATGGACACTTCAACATCGTCCCCCTTTACAAGCACTTTGAACTCACTGTTAAACTCGACCGAACAGACAACTGAAGTCACTGAAACCACTCAAATCAATGGAACTCAAGAAAACAAAAATCAAATGTCCATCCCAGAAGTTATTGAGGCAATGACTAAACTGTACGAATATCCAGAAGATTATGTTGTCGAAAAATTGGGGATTACCACAACTCTCTTAAAAAAAGCCTGTCGGTCGATAGGGGTAAAGAGATGGCCTTATAGAAAAGTTTGTTTCTCGTAAACAATCAAGACTATGATAACCAACAGATCCTCAAAGTTGACAGAGAGATACAAAAGAACGAAACAATCCTTAAAAAAGAAATTCCAATTGAAGAAAAGGACAAAGTCCAAGAAAAAATCGCGAGGCTCAAAGAATTAAAAGACCAAATTCTTTTTAATCCAAATACTGACACCGGGTCAAGAAAAAGAAAACCCCAAACGATCCGTGTACCAGCAGAAATGAAACGTTTAGCTGTTTCATGTGAAGGCGACACTGTTCCAATCTCCAGCGCTTCTGTTCTCAGGTGTTTGTTTTTAACTCAACTCCTTTAAAACTTGTAAACTGACATTAAGTGGCTTTTGGGTTGGACTTTTGTTACTTCGAAGTTTGCGCAAATCAGAGTAACTCCGCCATAACGCAGAGTTAGTCAACGACACTCAAAAAGACTTGTATATAAAGTTAATATTTTGTTCATAGTTAGTGTTACACATCAACTGTCTAGTATCGTCCATCTATCTCATCTCTATTAGCAACAAAAAGAGAAAACTAAATGCATAAAAACTTCACAGAGTTAACAACATCCTTTTTTCTGGCCGTTGCGGTTTGAAATCACAACCTCGTCTTGGTCAATCAATCCCTTTTCAGTCTTTGGCAACTTGCGAGCAACCAAGTCAAATAACTCGCTCACGTTGATGTTGCTTTTTGCTGATGTCTCGATGTAGTCGACAGAAATACTTCGTGCGTAAGCCTCGGCGTCCTCTTTTGTCACTGACCTTGAGCCTTCCAAGTCACACTTATTTCCCACTAAGAATATCATCGTGTCATTTGCCGACTCTCTCAACTCGTCGACCCACTTTTTTGCTTGTGCATATGACGACTACTTGTCATTAAACTCAATAACCCATTTCAATGTTATTTTCGACTATTTCAAAATAACTTTTCTCACGAATTTTTGTTCAGAAATTTCCGTTTCCCAAATTTTACATTTCCAAAAAAGGCGTGTAAAGATAGCAACAAACGTCTGATGTGATGTCAAACACCACAAGTGCAGCATTACTCCCTCTGTAATACATAGGTGTCAACGAGTGATAACGTTCTTGTCCAGCTTTTTGTTATTAATAACACTATAAAGGTATTTATGTCTAATAAACTCCGTTGTTCATAAGTTTCATGTCATTTGTAGTTTTTAAGTTATTGATTTTTGAAGACAAACCAGTGTCCCAGCATTCAAACTTGATAGTGTCTTTATCGACTATTAGGGTTTTTGTCAAAAACGCTGCGCCGATTGTGTTCTCCTGGAATTCTTTGTACTCCCCTTTACAAACCCTCAGGACAATCGACGACTTCCCTACACTCGAATCACCAAGCAACACAATCTTGAATTGGTACGTATTTCCTTCAGTCATACACTCGCTTTAAATTAATTAGTTCCTTCAAATCCATTTGCAGTTGTTTTAATTTTTAGACTTTTTTTCGAGACAATTTTCCGTGTTTTTCTTCAGGTGTTTCTCGTGTTTATTCGGGAGGTTTTAAATACATAAATAGAACAAGTCTTGTATAGAATAAACTCTTTGTTATACTATTTTATATAATTAATATATTAGTATAAGTACTATATATTATAGTTTGCGTACTCTCAAAAGAAATAGAACCCATTACAAACAAATTCATTCATACATACAACATTGTTGTATCAATTGTATTGATCCTTTCTAAGTTGATACAACTTGTCTTGAGCCTCTTGCAATTGTCTTTGTAGCTCCAACACTTTAACTTCCGATTCCATCAAATTCTTCTTGGCAGTCACTGGGTTACTCGACACTTTAACACTTACAACCTTCTTAACACGAGAATCCAATATCCTCTGAATATGCGCGTTGACGTCTTTAATCACCTCACTCAAACAGTTCTCAAGTATTCTAAGAAGAGGCGAGTTGGGGTCTAAAGTCGCTCGAGCGGCAGCAACAAGTTGAGACGACAATGCAGAAAACTGTTTGAGAGCAGCAACAAGCCAGTCGTCTGTCGCATTTGTTTCTTCTGATATGGCCTTGGCCCACTCAACAATCTTTTTAGCGCAACTCAAGAGCCCTTCTTCCCACACTTCGTTGTCATAATACAAATTCGATCCTTTAGTCTTTCCACTTCTCAGGCGGTCTTCTTCACAGTCACCAGCTACGCGAATTAAATTATACAACTTGTCAAACACACCACTGATCTTATTTGTTGTCGGGTTAGCAGTCAGCGCTATTTTGGCAGAGTCCAAGCTTTGTATTTGTTTTGAGACTTCTCTGCTAATATCGACAAATTTGGTTCCTTTCACTTCATTGTCTGGGTATGTTGGTACAACGCTCGGTTCGACTTTTGGTGCACTCACATATTGTTTTGGCCCAATCACTTTGGGTTGAATAATTTGGACATTCTGCTTTTTCTGTTGGACATTTTGTGTATTTGGTGTTCTTTGCACGTTTTGCGCAGGTTGATAATTCTGAGCGACTGTTTGTTGTCCCAAGACATCGATTAGATCGACATTTTGTTGTGGCTGTTGTGAATATTGAAAATTGGTGAACCCATTTTGTTGAGGCATTGATGGGTATATTTTTGTATTGTTCTGTTGGCCATTTTGAGGAATGGTGTAATCAAAGCTTTGACAAGAGGTATTGGCATTCTCCACCACACTCTGTTGAACGTTTTGATTCAAGCAATTCACGTTATTATCGTTGTTGATTTCATTTCCGGTACCCAAAAAGTCAAAGAGTGGCACGTTCTGCGTTTGTTTCTTTCCTTGTTGATCCAACAGTTCTTTCTGCTTCGTCAATTCACAAATAAACTGGTTGACAGCCTCTGTGACGTCGTCTTTGTTATTGTTCATTCGACACACTCTCACCAAATTGTTTTCAAGTTCAACAACGTCACTCAAACAGTTCGCCGCAACGCCTTCTTGATTTCTCTCGACAACGCCTCTTGCATTGTCTTCGCTAAGAATGTGTGGGATGGCCAAAAACGTCTTCCAAATATGTGTCTTAATGTCCGGTACATTGTCGGGGTCTTCCAATTCCTTATTAAGGCAGTTGATCATCTCTTCGACTCGTTCTTCGTCTGAATTGGGTGACATGTTAATAACATCCAAAAAGCCTTGTATGCTCCGTGTCAGACTTCTTCCTGTATTAATCAAGTCCTCTCTAATCCTCAGTTGTTGCTTTTCGTAAATACCAATTTTTTCCTGACCAACAGAGTTCTGGTTTTCTACAGACGGTTGACTTTGCCTCTCATTCCGTTCAATCCCCGCCTTTTTGTTGAAATCTCTTCTCAAATTGTCATTTTCTTCGTTTTCTCTTCCGTCTGAATAAATTGGAGCCCTTGCCTCATCTTTTCTCCTTTGTTTCTCGATGGTGGAATTGAACGATTTCTCAAAGAGACTTTTCATCTGGTCTTCCCCACTAAAAGCGTTTGGATGTGCTTTGAAGTAGTTTCTTCTCTGTTCCTCTGAAATCTCGAATTTGGGAAGTGGTGGCAATACAGGTACGCCGATAAGAGACGTGATATACGAATTCTTTCTCGCTGCGTCGTACATCATTTGCAGACTCTTGTATATCTTTTCGAGTCTCCCAAACAAGAATTGGAACACTTCCGAGTTGTTGTTCACAAACGCGATGTTTCCTATAAACAGTGCAATTGCATTGAACAAATGGAACGAGTCATTAATGAGTGGGACTGCGCAGTCCAATTTAGTAATATCTGCGCCATACGAGTGAATGACGGGCAATGGAATGACCAACAAAGTGTCCATCAAGTCCATTAAGTACGACAAGATCTCAAGTGATCGTTTGTCCGTGTAAAATTCCTCTGGCACTTTCTTTGCTATTTTGAGTGCGCCATCGAAGAATGGGAACTTAATAATAAAGACAAAGCGAAGTTCCAAGTACTTCACATAACACTTCGTGAGCTTCTGGAGAGCGTACCATGCATTGAGGCGTTGTGTGGTGTTTGCCACTTGGTGCACAGTAGGAAGAACAGCATCAAGATACCCGCCACAGAGTGACGGGGAACCTTCGATAATGACTTTGTGAAGTGTAACAAAAGACTTATAGACCTTGAGTGGATCAAGGCATGACAATGTTTTGACAAGCTCCGAGTAAAAGGTAGGAACTCCTCCATTAAAGCTTCTGACTATAATGGTTCGGACATGTTTAGGCTTAGGAGGACTGTAGACACTATTACATGCTTTTTTTGTGGCAGTACGAGTCTTGAAATCGACGAACTGCATCGACTTTTGAAATTAAGAAGTTGTGTGAGGCTTTTATATGTCGTGAAACGTTTTGGAGAGAAATGAGCGACTTTGAGATTGTCAGTTTCGTTTTGCTCAAAGAACATTAATAAGAAATAAAATAGTTACTTTAACTATAAATTATACTAGCAAAAAAAGTTTGACGTTTTCAGAAATGCAGTTTTTGTAATTGTAACTTTTCTTTGTTTTTAGTTTGAAACATATTTTCCATGTGAAAACTGTCAAACTTTTTAACGTCTTTTTGGAAACAATTAAGTCCGTTTTGTACTGATTGAATGACAAATTGTATTTTAATAGTAAAAGTATAGTAAACATAATTATTTTATATTTCACTTTTTACCAAAAAAGAATTTGTATCGGACTTTGGAATTCTTCGACATGAACAATACTATTAATAAATAACAAATAAAACTATATTGAACTATACAAAACCAGACGAGAAAAAAGAAAAAACAAGAGCATAGGAAAACTCTTAAACATCCAACACAGATATGCAGTCTTCACCTTCACGTTCTCCTGTTGCCCCGCCGGACCCAATACCCATACCGGACCCCGCCTCGAAACAGTCTTTGTTAGTAGAGACAGTAGAGACTTTATTATATCGTGTGAGTAAAGAGGGTTCTATAGTGAAACAAGTATCGAAAATACTGAGCGAGCAACTTGCTGAAATCACGAGTGACACGACTCAATTTGTGACGTGCATCTTTCAAGATTTGACGCAGAACATATTTCTCCAATTATTTGATGCGATTTTACAAGACAAAGACCGGAAGAGTATATTGACTCATGTGGTGACTATCATCACACCAGACTTGATGACGCCACATACCCTCTCTTTGTTGTGTTCTTCAATGTTATCGATCTTACCGTACTCTTCCGGTGGTATTTTACCGATCATTTTGACCTCTTTTAATAACTTGTCGAAGTCGTTCTTACACGAAGAAGTCTATTCATTACTCATTTCAACACTTTTCGACTTACACTTGGTGTTACTTCCTAATGCGCAGGAGACGGCGATGGTCAAAGACTTAATTAAATCATTTCTTGTCAACGCCCCACTCTTGAAATTTCCAGAGGGAAAGATCCCCCCTGTCGTCTCGTTACTCACAACAGTCAGTCGATATGCCGTCGTTGATTGGTGCTCTCCAGACGCCGTGCGAACAAGAGAGATATTAGACAACAAATATCAGTTATCAATTGACATTAAAGCAAAGATTAAAAACGACGCGGAGAAACACCGGGAAGAGAAGATGAAGTACGTCAAAGGGTTATCTGAGGAGAATAAGAAGTACACCACTTCCCGAGCACACGCGCATGCTGTCAAGTGCATTTTAATGGTTTTGTCTGAGGCCGATCACACTCAATTGCAGTCGTATGACATGTGGAAACAACCCATAGTCGACTGTTTGATAGACAACGGCTTCACTACAGAGCCTCAGAAGTATATTCCCGCAGTCAAGATCTTTGTCGAGATCATGTCCTCGCCTATTTTACACTTAAAAGGCCTTTCTGTGGTATTGGACAGACTCTACTTGTTTGTGCTTAACTCGCAGATATCGACATCACAACAGAAACAGTTAACGTTAGAGATGTTAGTGTCACTGACTGAGAAGAGTGAATGTGTGTTGTCGATGTTCAAGTTGTATGACTGTAACTACAAAGCCCCAAATGTCGTGTACTCCCTCATTAAGACTCTTTCAGACGTCGTGGATGGCAAGATGAAGTCCAATGAGAAGTATGTGTCCAAGCAATTTGACATCGACAATCGCATGCGAGCATTGAAGTGTATTCTGAACATCATCGATGGTGTTTCCGAGACAATAGCGAGTGGGATAGAATACAAGAAAGAAGGGATCGAAGCCAAAATTGATCGCAAAGTGATGCTCGAACAGGGCATCCAAATCTTCAATAAAGAATATATCGAAGGCATCAACTTCTTTGTGAGACATTCATATTGCAAAGATAACAAGAAGGACATCGCGGAGTTCTTGTTAACGACGCCCGGAGTCGATAAACGGAAAATGACGGAGTACTTGACTTCCATAGGAAAAGAAGTCCCAGAAGTCTTAAATAACTTAATGAAAGACATCGACTTCACAGGAGAACGGTTTGATGATGCTCTCCAGAGGATGTTTCGTATCTTCTGTACCCCTGGGGAGGTACATATAGTTGATAATATCATTCCACGCTTTGCAGAGAGGTATGTGGAGTGTAACCAATCTCTTCATTTGAGTATCGAAGATGTCTCTTTATTAACTACTTCAGTCATTGGCATTGCAATGGATACTTCTAATAAGGAAATGACACTAAAGAAGTTCCAAGAGATGGTATCTGGTATTAAAGGAGATGTTGATATCGAAGGACTCTATAAAAGAGCATCGAGCGGGATGTTTGCGGTGTCCGACTGGCTTCTTGGAGTCAAGAGAGATAACACAGAAGACTTAGAAATGAAGGAACAGATGCTTCGGACGATGAGTGGGATCGACACTAATATGTTAAAAATACGGAAGACGGAAGATGAGACGTTCTCCTCAATAACATCTGAACTTGTCGAGATGTTCTTACGAAGTGTGACTTCGTCGTGTTGTGACATCTTTAGAAAAGCCTTTTTCAATGAAGAGACTGGGGACTTTGTTGAGAACAGTTTGAAAGGGATGCAGAAATTGATCCACTGCACTTCCATCTTAAAAATGTCTGAGAGTGACGACTTACTCTCCGAGTTATCATTATGGACAGTCTTATTGACACCAGAGATGATGCGTGCAAAGCACGTCTTAGCCATTCGATATATCATACAAATTTGTAAAGACGAGGGCATGTATATATTGAAGGGATGGGTGTCATGCCTCAAAGTGATTAGTCATTTAGACCACTTAAACCTTCTCCCGAAGCCTAAAGGAGTTATAACTGAGTTAAAGGAGATGCCTAAGAATGAGAGAGACATAGAATATATTGAGTACTTGGGGTGTTTCACCTTTGTGAATAATGACCTTCGCATCTCGAATAAACAGTTTGACCCGAAGACGTTGACGACGTTGAAATCTTTCTTACAGAAACAGATAGGAGTCATGAACGACATCTTTGCGAAGGAGGCGGTGGCTTCCAAAGAAAACTTCTTCTGCTTTTTGAATGCGATGAAGACGGTGGTCTTGTCGGAGATCAACACGTTGTGTCCGCAGATGTTCTTGTTCACGATGTTATTGCATGTCCTCTTGATGTGTGTTGGTCGCGAGAGAAGTGAGATCGACGACATCATTCAAATTGCGACGGAAGTCTACACTAAAGCGGGACTCCACCCACATGAAGTAGTTTCCGTCGAAGCTGTGAAAGCACTTGGAATGCTTCACGACAAGTTTTATAAGAACGATGACATCATCAACTCGTTGATTGTTATTATGGCGGATTCTCCTATAGAAAAAGTGAGAGAAGAAGTGATGAAGACAATCACTGACGTGTTAGAGAAACACGACGTCAACAAACACATCAATTGGACGGGGATACTCCATATCATCAATTTGGCTGGAAAAGACCGAAATCCAGTGATACTAAAACTTGGATTCTCAATGCTCCAGATGGCTTGCACACAAGCGAATGATACTGAGAATAAGGCCCTTGTTAAATATGGTCTAGCACTTTTCTCAAGGAAGATCTTGAATGAGAAGATGGCGCGGGATGTCATCGATATGTGTCGAATGTACTTAAAGGAAGACACGACACCGGAGGATATAGAAAGTGGCAATTTGGAAATCATGTATGCCCTCGGCGGAGTCATCGGAAGTCAACGGATTGAATGTGGAGCAGAAGCGATGGGTATAATGCGGAACCTATTTGACAAGATCTCTAAAATAGGAGTTGTCGAGGCTGTTTTTGATATTATAACACCACAGATCTATTTCAATATAGAAAACAAAGAAGATTGGATTACACCAATTGGGATGACTTTTGCGTTACATTTATTAGAATTAATTACTAGTAATAAAGCAGATATAGAAAATGTCGATATCATTTTAAATGTTATTCAAATGTTGGCAGTCAAAGGCGGAGATATTTGTTCGTCTGTCAATGACATATTGATGAAAGAAGTTTTCGAAGTCATGGTGGGACATCAAAATTGCGTTTTGGGAACAGTGAAAACAATTGAGTTTTTGAAAAATCACATCACGTCCGTCATTCTGTTACAAATGAATTCCAAAATCAAAACGCCTCGGAAAATTTGTAACGCCGATAACAAATGTTCGACGTGTAAAAACGTGTGCACACGTCATACAATGTTACCGTGTCTCTATTGTAATGATCACGTTTTTTGCAGCGAAAAGTGTCGGAAGAAATTTGGCAATCACAAAATGGCGGTGAAACATTTCGAGTATAATTCTATTAAAGTGAAAGATTTACAAAAGATATTGGCACTTGATCTTAAAATCGTTATGTTATTGTATAATAGTGTTTCCGATATAGTTTTGAAATGCAACGTGGACACACTCTTAGATCATTTCGTCAATCTCCTTGATGATTTTGCCGCAGGCATCGGGATTTTTGACAAGATTTTGGCAGACACGTTTAATATGTTACTCGAGTCATCAACAAAATGTTTTATCTCTTTCGTTTTGGAAAGTCAGAAATTCGAAAGACTCAACGATTTATTCAAACTTGACATAATCTTCGCTCAGATTTTGTGCGACTCACTCATTTTCGAAAGAAACTCCGTTGTTTGTTTTTAGTCTATTTAATAGTTTTATGAATTGTAAATAACTAATAAATAGCTCTCAGAAGTCAAAAAATCACTCGATGTGTCAAAATTGCCAACGACAGCAAATGGGAAGAAGCTTGCAACAAGATTGTTGACACTGTAATGAGACCTTCAATTATTATTATTGTTATTAATACAAATATAGTTTATAATATTATATTTTTTTATTTTTTTTTCAATAATAATTTTAATATTAATAAATTAATAATAATCAAATCTTAATTTGTTATTAGAAATTGTTAATATTTTTATTAAATTAAAAAATGAATCTAAATTAAACTTTTTTTAAAAATTCAAATATTTTTTGAAATAGAATAGAAATTTCGGATACCAAAGTGCGGAACAGACAAGAACAAAACCCACAAAAATGTACCCAATTGAATTCTCAAATGATATTTTTTCACAATCTCGAAAAAAATGAGAAGCGAGACAGAATGGACAGCACCCCACCGCCAAAAGATATTCGACATCCAAAAGACAATACAAAGGAGGTATACATACGTTTGAAGTCTCTTGTCGATCGCATTAAAAGTGAATGTGAGATTGAAGACATCGACAACACTGACCAGACTTTATTAAGTCTTGTTGACGAGCTTGAGGCTCTGTACAATGTAGTCAGACTACGTTCACAAGTCTCTCAAAAGTCCGAACTCCGTCGGTGCACAAAGTTAAATTCTCCTCGCAAGTCTAAAAAATCAGAAAACGTTATTCAAAATGTTATTCGAACTCAAGACGACTCTCTCCCACAAAGTGTTGACAACACCACTACGAACACACCGAACACCACACACAAGACTATTTCAGTGACAGATATCAACGCGCCATGTGGTATGCCTCAAAGTGACAAAAATGTTATTCAAAATGTTATTATGAGTTGCGAGTTGCAAGAAGAAACAAAAGAAGAAGTCACCGGCACATGCGAGCGGTGTGTGTTTGTTGGCGATGAGAATTCTGGGAAGACGCGATTGATACTTTCATATAACACAGAGAGGTACCCGCCACACGAGTTTGATAAAGTCGACGATCTGACGTTCTCGACGATCAACACGAAGAATGGGCCAACGAAAATTACCGTGGCAAATGCGATGGAAAATAAAGAACTTGTTGCGATGAGGAACATCTTGTATGCGTCCGCGAAGAGTGTTGTCATCTGTTTTTCTATGGGAAGTCAAGAGTCGTATGATGACGTAATCAACTTCTGGTTGCCAGAAGTGCGAAACGCGAAAGAAGGTCTTCCTATCATATTGTGTGGAACGGCGAGTGAGACTACTGTTGTTGCAGAAAAGGAAGTGGAAGAAATCGTAAAAAAAGAAAACATTTTCAGGTTTGTCCAGTGCAATTTTATGACGGGAGAAAACGTTAAAGAGCTCTTCGAAACTATTGGAAATAGTTTTGAAGCACAACAACAAAACGCTTGTGTTATTTGTTGATTGATTTGTTTGTGTGTGTTTCGATCGGTATTTATTTTGTTGATTATTTAATTTAATTTAATATACCATGAAAAGAAGTAGAATTTATTACAAATTTATTAATATTATTAATAAATTGTTATGTTCAGTTTTATTACTATTATTTAGTTCTTGAAATGAATTAATCAAAAAATTAAAAATAAATTATCAAAATACTATAACAATTGAATTGTAATTTAAGTAGTTTATTTAAAATAATAGTATTAATAATTCAATACTATTTTCTTATTAAAACTAAGATTAATTTCAATTGATAATTATAACTAAACAAGTATTTAAAACCCGATAATAATTATCGGGTCAACAACATCATTTTAGTCCAAATATTAATTCATAACTTTGTTATTTGTATCAATAAAAATGCTTTTTCGTCGCATTCCTCTTTTTTATTTTTTTCATTTTATTAAAAAAAGAATCAACTTTTATTATTTTTAAATTATAATTATAATAACAGTTTTCACTTTAAATACAAGGTGATAAAATATGTTTTCAATAGTACATAATAAGATAGAGACACTCATCATAATGAATAAAAATTATATGTATTTAAAAAGTTGTTTACATGACACATGTAAATATTTAACACTTTTTTGTTGTTCTGGTGTTTATTTACACAACTTTATTACTGGTCAATATTAAAAATTAACTATTATTTGATATAAAGTTGTTATTATCTTGATGTACATGTTACAATCTATCGCCGATACGTGTTGTTAATCCATTTTTAAATATCTTTTTTTATAAAATGCATGTCACTTACATTACATATACACATCAACTTATTTTAAACATTCATTCTAATTTACATAATGTGTGTTTTTTGTACAAAATCATTTATCATATATTGTTTGGCTTGTTAAACCAAACACAATTCGTTTGTATTATAGACTCGGTATCTTAGTCTGCACGCAAAAATAACATTCAACAACTTCTTTATATCTTTGGTGTTGTCTTTCTAAAATTTTTGTGTTTGTTCTACAATTGTTTTTGTTTATTATCGATTTGATATACTGTCTAACATATTTTATTAATTATTTATCAAGACCTCTATTATTTTCAACTGTTAATGTTTTTATGTTTTTATCACACCTTATCGAAATATGATATATATGTTAAACGTATAACACATTAAAGTATATAAAAGTTTTCATTATAATACCATTACTTCTAACCCGCGAATGGTCGCATGTTTTACACGTTTTTTTTATGAAAAAAATGTGTAAATATTATTTTAAAAAATAACACACTGCATGAGAAAGCCATGCAACCAATAATAACAATTATAAACAAAAATCATAAAAACAAATTAAAATAGATATTTTTGATTGGCTTTATAGGGGAAATTAAACAAGTCGCCATTTTTGCCAATAACCAAATGAGGTCTACGTGAGAACTATTTGTATAAACAGGAAATTTATTTTTATTGTTGATGCAAATATCCCGATATATTACTACCACAAAAATATCAATTTTGATTGTTTTAGAAATCAAATTGATTGATACAATCTTTACATTTATAAATTCGGATAGAGTGTTTAAAACAAACATGTCTAGCACATGACACACAAATATTTTTAACGGAATTTCGTTTTCCTTTAATTTCTTCTTTACAAATCGCACAATCAGAAGCGGTTTTTTGAATAAAAATGGGTTGTTTAATGTCATTCTTTGTAAATGTTTTCAAAAAATAAATAACAGCTTTTCTGGATCGTAGATTTAAATGATTCAATTTCCTCTTTTTAACATTGTTAATAATTAAGTGTATCGCGACATTTTCCATAATTTCAATTCTGTTAATTTTTGTTTGTGATGGTTTTTTGTTGTGTATAATTTGAGATTTCATGATAACGTACAAGTTGTTAAATGCCAG